TTTTTTTTTTTTTTTTTTTTTTTTTTTTTTTTGCTTTAAGGGTTTTTCTCAGACACAATTCTCTGGTTATTCTCCCTCAGCAAAAAACTGTTTCTAAATTCTGATTTGGTATCACCTAAGCATTGAATGCTTATATTGTCAGAGCAATGTCTTGGTGCTCTTTTTAAGGAATATAAAATGTGTGCGCATGTATCTGTACTATGGTATGAACATGCTGGGCACTGTAGAGCATGAGAAGTAAGCTTAGGAACACTAGGCGAGTATTTCTCTTGCTTCTCAAGTGCTCTCCCGGGAGTGATCTACTTCCTCTACGGCTCCCAGAGCGTTTATATCTCAGTACAGAGACATAAGCAGCTGTTTTATATTGCTTTTATAAAAATTTTTTTTTGAACAATTTTGCACAAGCATGTCTCTGTCCTCTAATACAAAACATGGTAACTAGCGAATCAGTGCACACATTACATCTCAAATATTTATAAAAAACAAATATAAAAATCTTTTTTGTTTAATATGCAGGTCACTTCTTCTCCATTGCATCTCAAGTCAGTGATCATAAAACAAATGCAAAGCAAATGATCTCCATCAATGTTACATGGGGGCTTAATTGTACAGATGACCTAAGAGAATTAAGAATGAAGTGGGAGCCTGATAACCCTTACTACAGTAAAATGTGTTCTGGTCAAGCTTCTTTAACTGTAAGATATAATTGAATTATTAGGATATTTTTAAATTCCTATGCTTAATTCATTTCACCATACATCTTTGACATCTGCAGAGACAGGAGACTTAAAATAACTAAATTCACAATTAATATCCATTTCCTCTTAACTCCAGAATATTACCTGCAGCTATGTGATTCTACTACAAGGAGAATGTAGCACATTTTTGCTTAATTATACAGGAGAGGTAATTTAAATCTTTTATTTAAAATTTTTCTGAGTTTTAACTATTCTCACTCTTTTAGTCAGGCTCTCGACGATGAAAAATAATATAATGCAGGGGCGACGGAAGCGGGGGGCCTGGCCCCCCCAGAATATAATGCCTCACACAAAATGAGAGAGACA